GCCTTGTTTAGTATGATCCACAATTCATTGACATGTACATATATATACACACACCTGGCCTTGTGTAGTATGATCCACAATACACTGACATGTACATATATACACACCTGGCCTTGTTTAGTATGATCCACAATTCATTGACATGTACATATATATACACACACCTGGCCTTGTGTAGTATGATCCATAATACACTGACATGTACATATATACACACCTGGCCTTGTTTAGTATGATCCACAATACACTGACATGTACGTATATACACACCTGACCTTGTTTAGTATGATCCACAATACATTGACATGTACATATATACACACACACCTGGCCTTGTTTAGCATGATCCACAATACACTGACATGTACATATATACAACACACATCTGGCCTTGTTTAGTATGATCCACGGTACACTGACATGTACATATATGCAACACACACCTGGCCTTGTTTAGTATGATCCACAATACATTGACATGTACATATATACAACACACACCTGGCCTTGTTTAGTATGATCCACAATACACTGACATGTACATATATACAACACACACCTGGCCTTGTTTAGTATGATCCACGGTACAGTTGGGCACCACTTTTGACAACTTCATTATCCAGGTGTTAATCTTATCTCGCCGTCTTCTTTCCACTGTTAACGTATAAAAATGACAGTATTTAAACCAATGTATCTAGCCCAGTAAATCAAAATATAAGATCTTTACGAAGGACTGGAAAGATAGATTTCTTGACCAACATGACATTGTTGTTTCTGAAGTTGGTTCAGTTTTACAAAATATATTTTATTATGCAAGTTAGTTATTATTGTAAAAACATATTTTGGAAATTCATTTTTTTTCTTCTTTTTCTCTGAAACCTATTTTGTATTATTTTCAGTTTGAATAGTTTATTGATATTGTTACAAAATGTAACATCATTTCATACTTAGTTATATGAGATGACTGTTTGTTTCTCAGTTGTAACTCCAGTGGACAAACACTGAGGAATATTGGGTTAACCTGAGTAACACAGGTGTGATCTCAAGTGGTAAACAAACACGTGATGGACTCTGAATCACCTGCTATGGTTTCCAAGTGGCTTTATGAATCACAACCAAGGGCCAATGAAATCCTTATGCTAAAGATGCAACAATATATGTAAATAAAATTTAAAGAACATACTCAGACTCATCCACATGTTGGCCTGTAAGATGTTATCTAAAAAGTACAATAACCAGGATACCAAAGACATTGCCAAATAACAAATTTGGTGAGATGTAACAGAAATTCACTTCTGAGGTGTTTGGGAACACTACAATACACAACATGGATCCATTACAAAAGCCAGTTTGTCCATGCAGCCGGAGCAAGAGCTGATAAGTGTGATTTGTCACATGGAATAAAAAACTTTTCCAAACCATCCCGAAGGAGTTAGTACAAGTAACATTATAATGAATAGCTGACTGAACATGAAAAATACTTTTCAAAATGAAAACCATGATTAGAATCGGTAGGTGAAAACCAATAGTTACCATTTTTTTCCAACCCAAGTTTTAGGTAGGAATGCATGATCTGGGTAGAAGTATAAAACCATCATAGAAAATACAATGTATGTGAAACATCAAGAGAACAGATATCACAACATATAAAAAAAATATTCTGTAGGACAGATAATAGTCTGAGCAAAGAGTTAAGGAAAAGATGCTGAGAAATGAAAGAATGAACCAAAGTCCTATTGAGAACAGTGTCTGGAAGCATAGGGTCACTGAAGATGAAAGGCTCAGGTGAAGTCCGTGAACGATGGAGACAAAAGTGATCGATGAATTCTGTAGCATCTGAAAGTGGCAGATAAACCAGCTCCATAACCAGTTATGGTAGAAGTTGATGAATTCTGTAGCATCTGAAAGTGGCAGATAAACCAGCTCCATAACCAGTTATGGTAGAAGTTGATGAATTCTGTAGCATCTGAAAGTGGCAGATAAACCAGCTCCATAACCAGTTATGGTAGAAGTTGATGAATTCTGTAGTATCTGAAAGTAGCAGATAAACCAGCTCCATAACCAGTTATTGTAGAAGTTGTTAAGTCACGATTAGGATAAAAAAATTTTTTAAGAATTAAATACATTTTTTGGAGGAATTGGAGAAAGATAATATATTACGTCTAAAATACATTAAGTCTAAACTATATTACGTCTAAAATATGTTAAGTCTAAACTAAATTACGTCTGAAATATATTAAGTCTAAAATACATTACGTCTAAAATATATTATTTCTAATGAGCTATTAAACATATGAGCTATTCTGGAAGAGGATTTGGTTTCTTGGACAAAGAACCTAATAACAACCAGCCCTGAAGTGGAATGCCTATCTTCAAGTTGATGAAGATGAAGGATAAGGGTAACCATGGTTGAGATGATCAGAGTGTAGCACTCAGAAGAACCTGCCACCTTGCATAATGATTTTGACAAGCACATTAGGAAAAAGGTGAAGAGGAGGGTAGATATAAGGAAATAGGTTCTTCCAAGGTTGATTCAGAGCATCCATAGCCAGAGTTTGGATTTGGAGAATAGAAGAGTGGAAGAAGATGGTTATCGGATATAACAAATGCATCCATCTTCGGATGACCCAGACACTAGAGCTGTCACTGATAAACCAACTAATGAAGAGTCAGTGGATTCTGACAGAGAATCTGTCAAAAATGTCCATTACATCAGAAACTCGACAAGCTTGAAAACGTATTCAGATAAGTAGAGAAACTATAACAGACCAAAGACTAATAAGCAAACAACTACTACCCTGGTTTTGATGAAAGCCACCTCTGTAGAAATGTTTTTTTGATATAACACAGAATGATGGTGTAACGAGGGAAGAAACTTGTGAAAAGCCCATTAACTCTCTTAATACGGGCTCGGTCAATTTGACCGACCACATGACATTTTTGTACTCGTTTATAGTCTCTATAGATTTAATACTTATAACTCTTAATATAGTGTGTATATCTTCATGAAATCTGGCAGTCATTCAGTTAATATTACAAGTCTTTCATATACAAAAAGTCATATTTCTTAGTGAAGTTTTTTTAATAAAATAACATAATGATTTACCCATGAATATATTGAGTATTTGTTTTGAATAGTCCGTGTGCAAAGTAAAAATACTTTTCTTCATCTCAAAAATCTCAAATTTCCTTTGTGTAATCCCTAAAACCTCCTAACATTTTTTTTCAGTAAAACTTTACAGTTTATCCATTATTTTCTCTACTATATCTCAAAACAGGATTGGTCAATGAACACGACACAAAGGTTGAACAGATAGATGACTCTGTAGGTATACTGTACTGGTAAAAGGTATGTTTTTTTTTTTCAATCACCAGTGATATTCCACAGCATGCATGATTGAAAGAAAATATTTTGCACCAGAAAAGAAAATTCAGAACACGAGCTATTTTGGAAAGCTTCTATTTTGTAACAGTGTTACTGAACAGTTTGATGTAATGATATCTATGATGATGGAGTATCCATAAAATTGAATAGAAGTGGCACGATGAAGCTTTTATTTTTCTAAAAACTTCGTACAATGTGATAAAAAGCTGCACAGTAATGAAGTGAAGATCAACTATGGTTTTAAACTTGAAAATTAATGATAAAAATCACAAAACAAAGACTGCATTTAACTTGTTTATGGGAGTGTACTCAAGTAGCTTCTCGTGCAACCAACAAAACAACACGAGTATCAAAAAATACTTGTTTATGGGAGTGTACTCAAGTAGCTTCTCGTGTAACCAACAAAACAACACGAGTATAAAAAAATACTTGTTTATGGGAGTGTACTCAAGTAGCTTCTCGTGCAACCAACAAAACAACACGAGTATAAAAAAATACTTTTTTCCAACCTATAACTCCTAATACCTCCTACGTGAATATCAAGTTTTTTTTAACTTAAATGTTTTTGTTTTCACTTTCTCTACAATATTACTAACTGTAGCTATTATCGTTAACTTATACTATACAGTCTAAATAAAATGTTTAAAATTAAGACACAGGACAAACGTACATACCTTTTAATATTTGGTGAAACAATATTAAAACACCTTCTATTTATGAGTGTCTTTATATTTTCACATATAATTTATTATCCTGTCCTTTAGCACTGTTATTTATGGCAACACAGATCCCCAGCCAATATTACCGTATGGTGGGTAAATAACACACAATTAAGTAAAATGTAAAACTAAAACCTAAATAACTGTCTATCGAACTAATGTATTTCTAGGTAAGAAATAACGATAAAGGGGTGGGGATAAAGCAGCAACAATGTTAAGAGTGGTTTGACTAGATCTCTATATAAGTCGTTGTGCCAATTTTAAAATTTTTTAAATAACGTTCTTCAAAAAGCAATATTTCCATCGGTTATAAATATCTAACAAAACTAAGTATAAATGACTGAGAAATCACAACTCTTATGTGTAGAAAGTGGGTGTGGCATCTGTAAAGTGTCTTTGTAATTAGACACAAAGCTACACAAT